GGGTGCAGGCGGACTGTCAGCTGTAGCAATATCAGAAGTAAATGAGGGTTCAAGAATTTGTTTCTAGTACTAGAGTGGGTTGGAAGTGGATATTTGATGTTAATAACTGTTTTTTAATGTCCTACAGGCTCTGACATGTTGAATAAATTAGAAACTAAGTTTTTGAAAGATTCCATAAAACATGAAAAAAATCTGTGATATTGCTCTATACATCCATATACCTGCAAAATGACATAAAATCCGTGCATATTATGGACAATTCTTACACTTGACATGGTTGTATTGAATAATGAATTGTAGGTGAGGCTGCATCTTACATTTTTGACAGGACATCTAAATAAAGAGATTTAGCTGCCTGTGCTCTAAAACCAGTCTTCACAGAAGCGCCCCCTGCTTTTCAGTTTTCATATTGACCCTGTGTTGCATCCTTACGTTTTCAAGTTCAAGTTTTTATCATCGTACTAGTGGAAATTCTGGCACTGCTCCGAGTAAGACAAAGTTGTTTATATAGTTTAATGTGTTCCTTCTTTAATTACAAGACGTTGACTAGTATTATACATTATTTAAGCCCAGGAAATTGTTGGGATTCTGTTTGCATTAAACTGTTGGATCATATGCTTCTTTCATTTAATACCAACAGAAACATTATCCTTTTGCTTTTAAAGCATAGATTTTCACTTCTCTGAAAACCAATGTGTTGGAAAAAAAAGTTTCACGTCTTAATCATTCTGCCTTGAATGACTTTTAGAATAATACACAAGAATTTGTCTGAAAATGCAAATAAAGTATGAGAAGTTCTGTGTTTATTGACCAAAGTTATAAAGATTTATTTATGTAGTATTTGCAACATGACAGTTATTACAAGTTGATTAGGATGAACAGAAATACTGGTTTTTGATTGTTTATTACACAATGCACCAGATTATTACACCACCATATTTTGTAATAATTGCCGCAAAAGGAAATAACGCTATTACATAATGCGGCTGCGAGTATTACAAAATGCGTTGAAGACTTTTATTACATTTTGCATCAGTTATTACATAAGGCAGATTTAGCGTGAGTTTATTACATTTTAAATGACATCATTGAAGCCTTGGATGCTAATCTCTACTATGTAGTTACTACTATCACAACAATGTGTGTGTGAATG